CTGATTGTGACCAATCATAGCGGACCACTGGCCCCCGCTTTCTTGAGAAAAGCCACAGGTCTCTTGTTTGCACAGACAGCTGAGGTAAACAAGCGTCGGAGGCTAACCTGAAGCTTCTCGTGTCTTTGTTACCGATTACTGCTTACTCAGCGAAACAGCAATCCAAAAGTCTCGTTCCTCCGCGCTTCCCGGTTCAATCATTCTATGGTCACGCCATCCACGTTCAAATGTGCGATCCATATTGTGAGACGTGAGCTCCACATACAGTTAGCTTCAGCAGAGGGTGAGGGAAGTGGGGGGCAAAAGCTCCGTGCGGGGAGGGCGAGCAGAGAGAGCGAGCTCATCGTTGTGATTCGAAAGTTTCTCAAAGTCACTTAGTGCAGCTTTAAGCCATTTCTGGGTCGGGGGGGTGTCAGTCAGAGCTCCACCCAGCACACAGAGCACCAGCACCTCACTGGTCCTCCTGCAGGTGGTGAGTCCACTGGAGCTTTGATCTTGTCAGCGGGGGCTTCGCCAGGCAAAGTGGGGGTTAAAACTGTCTTGGGCCCAAGGGGACACAACGACGAGTAATCGTCAGTGGGGAGTAGGTGGAAGTAGATCTTGTGGTGGGCTTGCAACCCACGGGACCCTTCACTCTGCACTGAATATAAATATAAAGTTCAGGACACTAACAGATAGTTTATTGCTGGACACGGATTTGGGCCCGTCGAGCCTGAGTGTTTTTTTCCATCTTCCTATGCTTCACACACCTATATTCATTCCAATTGTTCCCCCAGATGCAAGATTGGTGGAAGTTTTATTTATAAGATCTAAGGCCGTAGTGATCGTTGAGAGTACAAGGTAATAGTCTTCCTTACACTTACAAACAATTATAGTTTAATTGAAATTTAAAAAACAGTGAAGTTTTAATACTTACTTTTAATACTTTAACACTTGCAATCACTGATCATGTAACAAGGAAGAATCTGATATGACTTTTACAGCTGCTTTTTGCTCAGCCGGTCCTTTTTAAATTACCACGCTGTCAGGTTATTGGACATCTCCATATTTTCATAAAGCTAAAATGACATCAGCCCCTTATTTCAACATGATCCTGTAACACCCAATTCATATTTCCTTCCAGATGTTTTATACGGCCACATCTGTACGCGCCATACTGGTCCCGGGAGTGATAAATTATATTATTGGATCGAGCGTAAAATTGACTTTCCGTGATGGTCCCTAATCATCAGCACCATCCATCAGGTGCTAATGCCATTCTCTTCTTTTTGTTTTATTAACCCCCACCCAGCACTTTGACAAATGTGCACAACAGAGAAATACATTTCATTCACTTCTCGTCGAGGCTGATCAAGGCTTTGCCGGGGGTTAGTTTTTTTTTTCTCACCAATAAGTGGATTTAAATGGGTATCTCTGGTGATGCCGTGCCGCTGATTTATGCCATCGCGATTTTTACATAAAACCTTGATTAGTGCAGCTGCAAAGAATCTAATGGCTTTAAAATGTTGTCAAGCCTAATTTCGTCACTTCATTGTTTCTTGCTTGGGAATTAGGGAAGCTGTGCTGAAACCAGTGAGGGCGGGGGTCCCAGCTCCAAAAGGTCCATGAGCACGTTACAGTCTCTCTCCCTAAAACCTTCAAACAAGGTCAGAAATCTAGGGGTAATACTGGACTCAGACTTAAATTTTAATAGCCACATCAAATCAGTAACATCAGCAGCTTTTTACCATCTAAAAAACATTGCCAGGATCAAAAACATAGTGTCTAAAGCAGACTTGGAGATTCTTGTCCATGCATTTGTCTCCAGTAGGTTAGACTACTGCAATGGCCTGCTCACAGGTCTGTCCAAACAGGCTGTAAAACAGCTGCAGTACATTCAAAATGCAGCAGCTCGAGTCCTGACTAGAACCAGGAAGTACGACCACATTAGTCCAGTCCTCAGGTCTCTGCATTGGCTTCCTGTGGCTCAGAGAATAGACTTTAAAACAGCTCTGCTTGTGTACAAGTCTCTCCATAGCCTCGCACCAAAATATATTAGTGACATGTTAGTCCCATATGAACCAGCCCGGACTCTGAGGAGCACAGGGACTGGACTCCTGTTAGTGCCCAGAGTCAGAACTAAACATGGGGAGGCTGCTTTTCAGATTCATGCTGCTAAAATCTGGAACAGTCTTCCTGAAGATGTGAGACAGGCCTCCTCTCTGACAATGTTTAAAACCAGGTTAAAGACAGTTCTGTTTAACTGTGCATACAACTGAGGGATTTTATATTTTTATCTTTCTTTTTAATGTTCTGTGATAATTTATGATTTTAATGCTTTCTTGTTTTGTTCAGCACTTTGAATTGCCTTGTGTATGAATTGTGCTATATAAATAAACTTGCCTTGCCTTGTCACAGAGGTTTGCAATCTCGCTGCTAGCAGGTGCGAGTGTACCCGGAAAGAGAATGACCCAATGCTTTTGTATGGCGTCTTTCCTCTCAAAAATGTCTTTACAGGATGGTCCTAAAGTGGCTCTTGGTCCAAAAGTGAGTCTTGGTCCAAAAGTGGCTCTTGGTCCAAAAGTGGGTCTTGGTCCAAAAGTGGGTCTTGGTCCAAAAGTGGCTCTTGGTCCAAAAATGGCTCTTGGTCCAAAAGTGGCTCTTGGTCCAAAAGTGGGTCTTAGTCCAAAAATTGCTCTTGGTTCAAACGTGGTTCTTGGTCCAAAAGTGGCTCTTGGTCCAAAAGTGGCTCTTGGTCCAAAAGTGGGTCTTGGTCCAAAAGTGGTTCTTGGTCCAAAAGTGGTTCTTGGTCTAAAAGTCGCTCTTGGTCCAAAGCTCCGTTCCAGATGCTGTCCATGCTGAGGGGAGTATATATTTTTGGACCAGTCTAGTTTAGCCGCTGTGGACTTTAGAATGCACTTGTTAAATGAATGGGGCTAGTGCAGCTAGCCCATTTTTTTCACATTTTCCTGCCCTGCGGCCATTTTTAAAAAAGCTACAGAAAGCAAAAAGTGGTGGCACATTAATTTGAACGGCGGAGAAAGGCGTCCCTACATCTATAAATATGTACAGTCTGTGGCATAAACACCCTCTTGGTGGAAAAAGTCTGTTTTGCCAGAGACAGAAAGGCACCTGTTATCCAGGCATCCAGTCGTTCATGCTTGCTCTTCCATTTCATTTCGCACCCGCCTCATGCCAACTCTTTCTTTGGATTCCTTTTAGTCATCCGTCTGTGACAAACGTACACTTCCATCCAACATCTTTAACTCACGGGGTCCTTTTTGACAGCCCCACATCGGCCATTTTCCTAATTTGTGCTTCTACCTGTTAATGTTCTAGGCTGTCACGTCTCCAGCCTTTTTTGCTTGTCACAACTCTCTCCCAGGCTTTTAGGAGCAGACACGGACACAGCATGTTATTCACTGTGTTTTTTGGTTAAATTTGAAATGTCTGTGCTTGTCAAAATGTCTTGTCAACCAGGTCTATTGTTATACATACCAATATAATCTGTTTAGTAGCATCAAGACGTTGCTATACACTACCGCCTACAGCAGTGGCAAGTGAATAGAGTTTTGTTTAGTTTTTGACATATTTCTGTTTTGTAAATGCAAACGCAAAAAAATAAGTTGCTGTAAAAAACATTAACTGTTATAAATGAATCAACAGCCGGTAAATACATAATCATATTTGCATAAAAAAAATCCTCAGGCCTCATTTTGGCCTTTACATAACAAACAACATTAAACCATCAGGGCAAAATGGCAATGAACAGACTACAGCTGAAGGCATAATTATAACAGATAAAGTAGGAAGAGGAAGTGCTCAGTCTTACTCCAGGGCAGATGTGGCTGAAAAATGTGCACGCTGCATACGACCCATCCTGCAGGAGCCATGGTCACTTTAATACAGCGCCACTTGGACCCGTCTCCAGATGTCGAGGTTGGGCTTGGTCGGGACTTGGTTGGGGTTGGAAGATTTTAACCCATGGTGCAGAGTTTTAGGGGGAAACCGGAGCAAATGCAGAAAAAACCTATGCATCCACAGGGCGTAAATTATTTGGACTAAAACCCTGAGTCCGTTCCGATTTGTTGATGTCGCATTTATACACATTAATCACTTTTGAATGTGTGGCAACAGCAGCGAGTCCTAAGTGTCTCTGAGATGTTTCTGCAGTACAGTGTTCATGGTGTTTACACTGGTCCCAGAGCAGAGCAGAGAGGATTCATGGTCTTAAACTGGTCCAGACCAGAGCAGAGATTTGTTCAGAGTTGCTTCAGAGAAAAAACAATATTTCCCAAGATTGTTTTTTTACAATTGAGTTAAGAGTTTAATCTCTCGAGTTTCCTCCTACTTGGTTCTGTGCAAAAAGGGGATGAGGGGTAGTGTGTGGTGGGTTGAATAATAAGGGGTATGTTTGGTTTTTGTGGGGTTGGTGAGGGGTGGGAATTTTTTGGAGATAGGGTGTTTTAAGGTGGTGGGGGTGGTGGGTGTGGATGGGGGAATGGTGAGAGGGTTATGGGAGGGGTTAGATGATTTATAATTTGAAAGATTTTGTGTAGGGTGTAGAGGATTGTGGAGGGGGGGAGGTTGTATATATATTATGTATTTTGGGGGGATGTTGTGGGTGATTTTGGTGTGATTGTTGGGGGGGTGGGAGGTGTTGTTGAATATTTGTAGGTGGGATAGGGGTGTGTTGTATTATTTAAGTAGTGGTTGGGTTGGTTTGTATGAGGGGGGAAAGTAGTGGGGGTTTGGAATATGGGGGGGAGAGATATTATTGGAATATTTGATGTGGGAAGAAATGGATGGGATATAATTAAAAGTTTTGAGGGAGAAGAGAGGGGGTGGGAAGGGGGGGGGGATTGTTGGTGAGGTTGATTGGTAATGGTTTGGAAGAAAATATGTGTGTAATGTTGTGGGGGGGGGGAGGATGGGGAGGGGAGGTTGTGATGATATAAGGATAGAATAGGAGAAGGGGGAAGATGGTAGTATAGGGGGAGGGGAGGGTTTGTTTGTTGGGGATGGGGGGGGTGTGGGTAGTGGATGGTTGGTTTGATGGGGAGGGTGGGTTTGGGTTTTGGGAATGGTGGGGGGGTTGGGGGTTGGTGTTTTTTATGAGATATGTGGAGGTAGTGAGAGGGTGTGAGAGGGGGGGGGGGTTATTGTGGAATGGAGTGTGGTTATGGTTTGTGTTGGTTGGAGGGGATGGGTTGGGTGGGGGTAGGGTTGTAAGGGAGTAGATTATTGGGGGGGGGGGTGTGTTGGGGGTAGGGAATAATTTGTAGGGTTATGGGTGGGTTGTGGGTTATTTTAGAGTTTGTTGTGGAGTGTTTTTGGGGTTGGGGGAGAGGTTTGGGTGTTTAGTGGTTTGTGGGGTTTGGGGTATGGGGTGTTGGGATTTGGTGGTGGGGGTGTTGTTTGGGTGTGAGATAAATTGGTTTGTTGTATTGGGTTGGGGAGGATGGGGGTATTGGATTTAGGGGTTGGGTATTTGGGGTTGTTATTGTATTGTTGGATTATGGTTGGGGTTTTGGTGGGGGGTTTGTGGGGGGGTTTTGTTGGTGGGGGGTGGGATTTTTTGTTTGGAGTGGTGATGATTTGGATGGGTTTGGGGGAGGGTTGGGTTGTTGGTTAGGGGTTGGTAAGGATTTTAGAATTGGTTATTTGTAATATTTATTTAGGATTTAGGTGGATTTGAAGATGGGAATTTGGATGAATGGGTTTTGAATGGATGGGAATGGAAGGGAGTTGGAGAATGGTGTGATTTTGGTGTGTATATTGTGGGGGGTGTGGAATGGGAGTGGATTGATTTTGTGGTTAGGGGGTTTTAGATTAGTGAGGGGTGGAGGGGGTGGGGATTGAAGGGTTATATGTAAGTTGGTTATTGGGGGTGTGTTGAGGGGGGGGGGATGGATGTTGTTGTTGTTGGGAAGGGGTTTTTTGGTTGGGTTGGTGAGGGTGGGGTGTATTTTTTAGTTGGAATGAGGGGGTGGATGGGTTTTGGAGAGTGTGTATTATGTTTAGGTTGGTGGGGGGGGGGTTTTTGTTGTGGAGAGTTTTGAGATTTGGGTTGTGGGGGGGGGGGAGGTGTTTTTTGTATGAAAAGGATGTTGGGTAGGTGATAGTGTATGGGAAAGGAAATAGGTGACACACACTCACGGCGAGGCATCTTTCCAGCACTACGGCCCCCGTCTCTGGAACAGTCTGCCGGAGGAGCTCAGGGCCGCAGAGAACGTTCATATTTTTAAGAGTAGGCTCAAGACGCACCTTTTTAGAGCAGCTTTTGATTAGTATTTATTATCTATTATTGCTTTTTAGTACATCTATTTATGTTTTTAGACGGATTATATTTTTTATTTATTTTTATTATTTACTATTTTTAATTATTTATTGTATCTACCCATTTACTATTGTTATTATATTAGGCAGCTGCCATTTTTCTTTTTATTTTCACATTCTATTGTTCTACTTTCTATTGTATTATTGTATTGTTTTAGTGTCCCCAGTGTTTCCTCTGGAGGAGCCCTCTGCACTGAGAGCTGGGGTCTGCTGTGGCTTTCGGGGGACTGGCTCTTGGATCCGGTGGGGGTCTGGGGCCTCCTCTCTCCTCTGGGTCCTATGGGGTCTGAGTCCTGGGCCTGGTGGGTCTGTGTGTGGGTGGGTGTGTGTATTGTATATATAATTATAAATGTGATTTTGGGGGGTCTGTGGGGAGGAGGGGGTTTAGGGCTGGGCATGTTGGATTGTTTTTAACTAAACTGTAAAGCACTTTGTGTTACACTTTTTGTATGAAAAGCGCTTTATAAATAAAATTTGATTGATTGATTGAACTACACCAATGTAGACAGAGAGTTCATGACTCACAAATCCATCCCGAGCCTGACACAGTAGTTACACCTGGCTCTTGGGTATTTGTTAAAGTACACAGACATAACAACTGGACTCAGCCCTACCAAACTGGACCATACTTAGTTATTCAATCAACTGGAAGATCTGTGCAGGTCCAACGAGGACAGTCCAAGGTGTGGTACCATCTTTCACACTGCTTCAAGTGCCCCGTGGACCCAACGGAGAGGACTCTGACGCAAGTTAAAGCAGACATTGCTGCAGCTGTTGGTCCAGATTCAACCCCTTACTCATCGGCTGATGGAGAAGATCTCTCTACGCAACCCAGCTCCGGGGCTCCGGAGGGGGAAAGAGAGGGAAATGGGGAAGTATAGGACATGCAGTTGCATCCCTTGCGACGTTCCAGAAATCTTATATTTCTTTGCAATCATTACTATTGTTTTTGTTTTAGTATGGTGGTACATTATATGTCCATCACCAAAAATTAATGTAAATATGCAACAAATCACTCCAACAACAAAAAATGAAAGTATTGTTAAATTATCTTATATTTTAGCAAGCAACCAAACACATAGACAAAAACGCCGAACCAATGTTGACCCCTGCATAGCTAAACATGGAGGACTAGAATTAAACTACAAACCAGGAGAGGACTGGACATATGTTTTTGACTTTTGCTCTGTTTTTACTTGTAGTGACGACCACTCCCAGTGGAGGGGAGGGGATGTCTACATTTGTGGTGAATACCAAATGCAAACACATTGTGCCCAGATGAGTAGACTCTGCCTATCAAAGAATCACTGGACCCATTCAGATCCTACACAATCTTCCAATTATTGTGGTCCTGCAAAAGCTGCAGATAAAATAACAGTAATAAAGAGCAAAAGCAAAAGTCATTATCCCATACAGGGTCCAAGAAGAAATCTTTTAGCCTTCACCATCAATAGATTGGACAAAAACCCCTTGTTAAATAATCTAAAACCCTTATACCTTACTTTTGGTATATCAGGACATTACACAAGGAAAGTAGTTGTAAAAATAGCCTTTGATACCTCTGCAACACCTGATAAAACTTTACCTTGGATAAAGATAATTGATAATAACAACAAAAATCCTAAAGTACAACTTGCTATTGAAACGGGCTATGTCGAAAGTAATGTTTGGTTAGAAAATGTTAGGCAACAAGCTGAACAAGCAAACCAAACAGACTGCATAATATGTCAAACAGCTAGACCAAAATTAATGTTAACTCATACAACTTTTGAGACAAACAAAAATGGCACAACAACTAAAGGTATAGATATAGGATGTATGATAGAAGTAATGTCTAAAGATAACACGGGTCTTAACTGTAGAGGGTGGGAAAAGATTTATCCAGTCACCAAAAAAGGAGTTTCACCACCTATGTTTAGCACTCAAGTTACCAATTTAAATGTTACATGCATCACAATTGAACACCCTAGCCACACATATGTAGATTTAAAAGAGTTTCATGATTTAGGACATCTTGAAGTATGTAAAAGCACCTATAGACTCAAAAGCAACAACACTGACATACCATTTACAACTGCTAGAGCTGATGTGTGGTGGTATTGTGGAGGTTCTGCTCTATATGGAAGTTTACCACCAAAATGGACTGGCACATGTGCCCTTGTATCTTTAATGAGTGCTGCTTTAAGTTTTCCAGATGCGAAATTATGGGAATGGGATGACAAAGTCATCATTCGCCACAGAGCTAAAAGGTCCATCAACCCTTTAAATGACATGTCATCTGGACATTGGATTGACGCCATTGGACAAGTCAGAGGAATTCCAGATGAGTATAAATTAGTAGATGAAGTAGCAGCAGGTTTTGAATCATTTCCCATTTTCTCAGCATTTTTCCCTGTAATGGTTAACAAAAATGTAAACAGAATTAATCTTATCCATTATAATGTACAACGCCTAGCCAACTACACTCGAGATGGTTTTGAGGCTACTCATGAACAATTAAGTCAAACATCCCTAATGGCCTTACAGAATAGAATGGCATTAGATATGATACTAGCGGAGAAAGGGGGGGTGTGTTCTATGTTTGGAAGTCTTTGCTGTACGTCCATAGTTAATAATACTGCTCCTGATGGAAAATTGACTAGAACTCTTAATAAACTTAGGGCACTCTCCACTGAATTGAAAGACATGTCTGGTGTCAACAATCCCTTAATTGACTGGCTGGAGAAAACATTTGGATTATGGGGAAAATATTTTGCAATGGTAGGAACCTCAATTATAATATCAATCTGTATGTTGATAACTTGTGGCTGTTGTTGTATTCCTTGCATTAGGGGACTGATCCAAAGAACAATTGATCGTGCGTTTGCAGAGCCCCCTTCATATTCTAAAGCCCTTCAGATGATGGTGCAGGAAGCAAGACAACATAGAGACTTATTCTCTGATGAACCTGAGTCAGAAGAAGAAGAAACCAGTCCAAATAACATTATCCTACGTGCCATCCAAGCATCTGACTTGGACCTTATTTACTAAAAAGATTAGATAACTTATTAGAACAAAACTATAACTGTAAAACACCTCACTTATTAATTTGTCTTTTGTGTTGCTTGTTCATCTAACAATAAAAATAATAAAAGTTAAGACTTTAAAAATAAAATAAAAAACTTGTTTTAAAAAATTATATTGTATTTTTCAACAGTCATATAATCTGATGATTACAAACTAATATAATCAACAGAGAGGTAGCGACTTGCACCTCTACATTAAATATTGATTTGTGATCACATGTGGATGTGATCAAGAGAGGGACTGTGAATATTTAATTACTATTTGCTTGCTAAAATATCATGTTAAACAGTTCAATATAGTTCAAAGGCGTACACCTGTACTTTAAACTGCTTACAAAAGCATAAAACAGATAAAGTGTTGATGTACAGAACATGAGATAATACTATCTCATGTACATTGGAGTTTGGTCCATTACGAAGACATACTTAGATCATAGTTATGACATCATTAGGCCATCTCAACTGAACATTGAAACCATACGCTTTCTTCTGCATAGTCATGCTACCAAAGTCTATGCTTACCTAATCATTTAAGGTGTATATAAGTAGCCACCCTTCATCTCAACAACCAGACTTCTACAGCCAGACTTCTCAGGAGCTGCGTTGTGCCAGATCAGACTACGCTCATACCTTCTGATAATAAAAACTCTATTTTGAACTACGCAGTTTTGTCCAAGTCTCTTTTTGTCTTACGTCTGGGAATAATTCACACGCGTAACTTTTTTCCATGTTAACCTATGATGATATTTACACTTCTAGCGTTATACGCGCGTATGACGGACATATGACGCGAAGCTGCGCTCTATTTTAGGATGGATTTCTAATTTTGTGCGCGCACCAACGCGTCTCCCATTGAAATCTCATGTAAAACAGGATTTTTCTAGCGGTCCTTGGCTCTAGATCACATCTGCACACACACACGGCACTTGTGTCTAAACATCAGCAGGAGGAGCAGCAGGTTTTACAGTGATTCTGGACATCGTTTTTTTTCTTTCATAAAGGCTCGCGTCTGGCCAAACCAACG